GTGTTGAGGGTCTAAAGTAGCATTTTTACTCTCTAGAGGAAGTAAAAAAAAGCATTTTTCGTCCCTAGGGAGTAAAGTCAACTGTTGTTAACGGTTGTAAATTTCGGTTGTAAGCATTCGGGGGTTCAAGTTTATTTATCGATTGATTTATCAGGTAAGGTTTTTGCTTATTGCATTATTATTGTCAACAGTTCGAATTATCGATCGAATAACGTACAGTAGCAAAATTGTAACGGATGGAAATGATTGATTCACCTACTATACAGCTGGTTTTTTACAGTGGCATAAATTCAAAACAAGCTGGAAATAGTTTTGAGAGGTTATTTTTTTGTAAAAAGGTTTTTGGTTTTCTAGCTTAGTTGGTTAATAAAGATAGAATATGACGAAAAATATAGCCTATCACAATTTTGAAAAGTGCATTTTCAACCCTTACTCATTTAGTGAAACTTGGGCTTGGGTCGAAAAGAGTCACTTTACGCCCAGTGATGAAATATACCATATCATTCTTATAGACTAGTGAAAATAAATCAAAGGGACTATATTCATGTTCAAAAACACTTTGAGTAGATTTTTCTGAATTAATTGTTGGTAACTTTAAAATAAATTCACACCGAATATAAACTGCAAATTTTTTCCAAACAAAAGTGCAAAATTATAGAACAACATAGTACTCTAATATAATGCGAATTCTACTTCCAGTACTTACAGGTGCCTTATGCCTTATCAACTAATAATTATTGAGTTATCTAATATGTTATTTCTATAATATAAATCGTGTGATCATAAAATATTTTATTTTTTACCTTAATTTCATTGCTTACGTAAATCAAAGAATGAATAAACTGATATAGTGAGGCACATTTTACCCTGTCTATAGTTCAATTAAAATATTAGTTCTGAAAGTAATTTATACGGATATTTTAAACGAAGTTGATTTACACAGAAAGATTTCATGGTTTGGATAAGACTGATGAAATTGAGCCAAAGTTTGCTTTACTGATTGGCGAGTTCTTGTTAGTGAGGGATAACAGAGAGAGAGAGATATTGGAGTTTTAGATTTATAATTATTAAATTTAAAGGTTATAAATGTAGTAAAAGCTAAGATAGGTAATGTTAAGCTATTTTGCTCTAAATAAGATGCATGCAATAAGAAAGATGGATCATTAAATGTTTCGCTTTTTTCTAATAGCTTATTGTTACATGTGATCATTTAACTATTATGGTGCTCCTGTTAGACTTAACTGAGCAGATTTATCTACTTGTGTCTTCTTTTTTACTTGTTGGAATTAATGCATTCTACCCGATGTATTTGTTGTATAACTGGTCGGCGTGTGACTTATTTTGTGTTAAAAATTTATTAGCCTCGACCACTAATTTTTGCCAATATGAAGTATCCACTGTAACTTTTATTAACATGCACTTGATTCTTAAAATATGTAGAACCGGAACTGATACGTAGCCGTAGCTAGCTGACACCATATGCTTCTTTGTCACTCTTTACCTTTTTTACACGACCCCCCTAATATCCCTAATTTCTTGATATGAAACTGTGTTTAGTACGTCAAATGACAATGAAAAAACACAACTTATCTACATTTGGAAATATAAAGAATGGTTTCGATGGGTGACAAATAAATAGGCAACTAACTATAACAATGACTATCACAACTGTTACTTTTGACTACGGTTACCCATAGCAACCGTTACTGGGTAACAGTTACGACTGGCAATTAATTTTTGCTTATTAAGGTGGGTTACATACATCTTGCACGGTGCGACTAGCCCCATTTTTGATGCCAGTCCACTGTGCGAGATGCATGCATGTTGCATGGTGGTGGCACGTGCTAGTAGCAAGATGAGAGAGGTGAGACTTTTTGACGCTCAGTTCATTGGAAAATGTCGACGTCGTCATCGGTTGATGAAATGCTGTAGGGTGAATAAAATATTGGGTACCCTCTTATAGACGCCAAAATGTTGAAAGTAGCCAATACATGACCAGCTCTTGGAACATCCAGAGAAGTTCCAGAAGTTTTACCGCATGCATCTAGACGCATTTATAAAATACGTGACCTTAGAGACCACTGTAAAAAAAAAGAAAAAAAAGTAAATAGCGTGATTCTGTCTGCGTTATGAGTGACTCTATTGTATCACAGTTCACAGTATGTGGTGCTAACGACAACATATTGGTACAGTATTCAACATTACGATACTACTAATCATAACAGTTGCTGTTGAAATTAGTTTTAGTGGGGAAACTTAACTGATTGCCAAAACTTGAGATCTGATTTGTTACTTAGCCTACCAAAGATACGTGAGTGTTGCCCGTGAGATATTAAGATGGACAGAACGGTGCGCAAATTAATTATTTAATTCGTTGATTATTTACCTCTCATTGTAATATGTGTAATTACAACCAGTTCAAAGTTAGTAGTTATATTTGCCTGATTATTCCCTTTTTCTAGTAATTTGGGAATTTATTATTTATTGTTTAAAATAATAGTTTAAAAGAATCGTATTACCTTGGACACCGGAACATTAATCCAACATACACAACGCTGGGCAATCCATCGTCTGCAAAAACAGGCGTTGGCAACACAATTTGTCTTGGTTCGCTTAAAACCCATATAAGATCATTTATCATGGCGTAACGTTGTCCGGCGAAACAAAAGTAATCGATATGAGAATCGGGTATTTTCGAGAGTCGAGATTATAGATGGTCGATGTTGAAAACTCGATATTTGAATTCGTATGAGTATTATTGGTATGGCTGAAATAGGTAAAACATAAACGTGGGATGATACGAAACAAAAAGGGATTATAACTTGAATCTGCAATTACAAAATTACGGCTATACTCAGAAAGCTTAAAATACTATGTTTACTATTTAAACTGACTCATGGTAACTTGCATGCAAACTTTGTTGAAAAGCTGTTTTAAAGAAGTTATCCCCAAGAAATTAATTAAGTTTGAAACTAGTTTGCCAAAGTATATCCATAAAAGATTGTAGATAATATGACCTACATAAGGATAGTTTGCAAAATTGAAAATAAATGTTAATGGTTGTTCCATATAATACCAAACTCTCTAACTATCTTTTTGTTAGTTTTATCCTATTTTTGGGTTTTAGTTATTAATTTGTATACATTAGATTGATAATAATAAATTTGATATGAAACTATTAACCGATAACACTAAGTACATTAAGTCAGGATTTTAGTCATCACACGTTACATAATTGTTTTTAATGTAACTTCTAGTTTGCGTGTTCCAGATGAAGCATAAAAACTTGCCTATAACTAAATTGCTTAAACAAACTACCAACTATTCACAAGCCAGTTCCAATTAATGACGCAGCATACAGTTAATTATAGCATCAAAAAAGTTACAATAGAAGAGAATTTAAAAAAAATTAAAAATTTTAATATAAGTATTTAGCTTTAAAGGACAAACTGTTTAGAGAATCTTCACTCCACTTTACATTGCGGGGGAAAATTGGAAAACTTTCTTAGAAATATACATGCCGCAGCAAGGCTCGTTTTATTTGACCTCTTAAATTCCATTTGAATTGTGTTTGGACTTGTCAGGCATGATTCTCTTACTCTACTCTGAAAGTGTTAGGTCATTATGACTTTGTAAACAGAAAAGCAATTTGCTTGACTGTAAACTAGAGTTAAATAAGTAATTTATTGTTTGTATTAATGTCCATAATACTAGTGTAATCCGTAATATACATTTCTTTGTCAGTAATTTAAAAAAAGATAAATATGTACAATTTTACTTGTCAACTTAAGTACGAAAAGTGTTGGATATTCATCATCTCAGTGCAACTAATATAGTTTCTTTACGTAAGGTAACGTCTGCTAATATCAACAATTCATTACCTATGGTACGACTACTAATATTATTGGAAATTTTTGTCATCCCAGTTACCGATCGTCGGTTGTTACATGTCAGTGGTTAATCATGATATCACTTGAAAACTCAGCACATTTACTTATAACAACTGTGATATGCTAAACACTTCCGAGGGCTGTTAACTAATATGATACTGTAGGTGTTCGTTCATATTGGAAATCTTGACTAACTGTGAATCATCTTTGGTTTTTTATAATGGAATAGACATCTCACATATTATCTATGTCCTAGCTATGTCAATTGACGTCGATTTTCCAATATGAAATTAACATAGTTAAGTACAACATAAGAAGTACAAGTAAGTTACAACATGAGTCTCTTAAAGAATGCGTTTTCTAAATTTCTATTTTCTCCCAAAGTTGTTGGTAATACAGTGGACTTACTCATCCGGATATAATTTTACCGGACTACACTCTACAGGAGTGACATATCAGCAACGACTTTTCTCGTGAGAAAGATCTGAGACCAGTGATCACGTGTCTATAGTAATACCAGAAACAAAAGAACCCTCGGCCGTTTCGAGCCGCGCAGGTTTCAATGGTACGGCCCACTACCTGCGCGAACCACGTGATCTTTTCGTTTCTGCGCAGGTTGTTTTGTTCGTGGTATATCTATACACACAATGCTCTCCCAAATTCAAGTAGAATATTTGGGTTAGTTTTCGAGTGATTCTCGTGGCGATTGAATTTAACGAGTTAAGGGGACGTCGGTTCAACCAGAACTGATACCCGGACTGGCCTCGGTCCCGAGGAGAGAGTATATAGTGGGTGTGACATAAACGATGACATGGCTTACAATAAGCTGTCCTGTATTTGGATAAAATAGTTGTATTATTCAACTGAAGTCAGTGATGTGTCAGTACATTCAGTGGCTCTATTCTACCGTAATCATTCTTTTCTTAACTGGCTACATCTTCATTATAGGAATGGTATGTTTTATCCATAGTAGAAGGTCTCTCAGTTTGTCTAAGCATTTGAAGTTTCTCAAGATCCCTATATTTAATTTTACGATGATTTGCAGGCTGCGAAGTTTTGTGAGGACGTTTGTGTGTGCCTGTGTGGCTGATGTGTCTGATGTTGTTTCAGATGTCCTGACAGTGGAGGTCGCGGGAGGATGACGGGGGCGGACGACGACTACGTGCGGAGGGAGAGGTTGCTACTACTCCACCACGGCGGCGACCGCTACCTGGTCCCTCCTGCCCCAGGGGAACGTTACCTCCCTCCACCCGACCGCTACCTGCCGCCTCCCGCCCCCGCGCCATCGGACCACTGGGCACCTCCATCACCCCCGGCGCCCGCACCCAACGAGCGCTATGTCCCTCCCCTCTCACCCAGCGGCTACGACCGGTACGACCGCTACGACCGCTACCGAGACAGATACTACGACTACATCTCGCCACAATCCCCCAACTACCATGAGCGCTACCTCTGCGGGACGTTGGACAGGTACGACCGCTTCCAGAACAACGTGGTCAGCACCACCCCCGGGGGACCTGGAGACCCTTACATGCGGAGGGACCTCGGCTACCACCATCACTACAGGCTACCACCTCCACCGGGGTTCTACCATCCTGTGTACCAACGTACGCCCAACCATTCCCACCACAACGCCGGGTACGCTACCATGAGGCATCATCGTCACACGCGCTGCTGTCCGGGGATGTACCCCCAGGGGAACACGCGCGAAGGGAACTCCGGAGGAGGGAGTGCTAGGGATTACGTGACGTCCCCAGTGCTCCCGCGGGGACGGACTTGTAGAAGTGGGAGCAGTGGGAGTGGAAGCACCCCAGTGGAGTACGTGGGCTCCTCCGGAGGAAGGTACGTGTCGACGACTCCCCCGTTACCGAGGTGTGCGAGCGTGAGTGATGTGAAGGACCAGTGCGGAGGGTCCAGACGAGGGTGTGAGATGGCGTTGTGTTGTAATGCGAGAAGACCTACTCCTCCTCAGACCACGCAGCTACTCACGCCGCATCACAACTCTGTCTGGTGAGTAGTAGTCTGCATAGATATAGTTAATGCTTAATAACCTATGTTCACATAAAAACCCTCAACTAGCATATATAGCTCTACCCCGTACTGATGACTTAGTCTAATCACCGTAGCCCAAAAATCTTCAGATATGCTGAAACAATCAGTACTCCACAGCACCGATAAAAAGATCAGGCGTGACTAAAGCTATGAAAAATCTCTAGGGCTCAAAGGGTTAGGATATCCAAAAAAGTTAAGATGTTCTAACCCAACATTTCTTGGCTTACATAACCTGGACCATTTTTATTGTGATCTTTCCAAACCAATTGAGACGCCAAAACCTAGTTTTTTTTAACTCAGCTGAACTTGACCAATATTTCCCTGATACAACCAAACGAACATAAGTTATGCTATCCTAGCAAAACTTTTCACATATTTTACTTAACCTTTTTCGACAGTAGCTTGAAGGAAATAGTAGACTAGACGGATGGATTAATATTTTCTCTAAAGTCTGGCCCACCTTTAATACAATAAAGAATTTCTAATTCAACCTTACCTAGTTTGACCTTAACTTAAGTCATTGCCCTCTCCATCTGTTATCCATTTTGGCATGTAACTGAGTAGCTAAATGGTTATATTGTTCGCCTAGTAAAAAGGAAAGTCGCTGGTTCGAGTAAAGTCAGACGTTTTTCATTATTATTAACTAGACCAAAAAGGCTGAAGAACCAGATGATCCAAAGCTATCATATAATTTGTATAGCACGCATTATTTACCTATCTTCACCTATTTTTGTTTTACTTGTACATCCTAGGTTCTATCCCAGGGTTGTGGCGTTATCACTAAGATAAAATCCATTTCGGAACCGCGCTCTACCACTAGGGCACAAGGCCGTCTTGCTTCCTGACAATCTTCACCAAACCTCTTGGTGTCGTATTAAGGGAAATTGATAGTATCTAAAAAATTGAAGATTTGACTGAGGAATAATTCAAAGATGAGAACTTTTATAAAAAGTGTGTCCCTGTACAATTTTGAATGAATTATTTCTATTGAGATCTAATTTATTTTACTTAATGAGTTACTTAACATGTGGATAGTTCTTTTCATGTAATTTATAAGTGATCAGTTTAAAAATAGTAAGCCTAAACTAATCAGTTTTTAGCGAATTTCCCTATAGGGAAGTAGCTATTACCGTAGGTCTCATGGTAAGACCTAAGCCCGGGACCGATTTACTTTTTCATTTTGATGTCCCCAGAGGCCAAAAACACCATTCGTTAAAATTTTATATATCTATATATAGATATATATATATATATATGTGTCCATCCGCACGATAACTTGAGTAATTTTTGTCCGATTTTGATAAAATTTGGTTTGAAGGTGTAAGGCGGGATAAACTTGAATGAGTTCGCGAACCAGCATGATCGGACTATGGGGACGGGGGTTTATGGGGGGTTTTATGGGGTAAAAATAGGTTTTTCCCATTTTTGACCCTAAAAACACAACATTTCACAATTTCTTTTTAAATCATTTTGTAGAGCTTAAAAAAACAAATAATTTAGTATATTGAAGCATTATTATGCGCCTAATTGTTACGGAGAAAATTCAAAAAAATTGTAATTTTAAAATTCCCATGTTATTCTTATGGAGAATAAGTCAACTGTTGTAGTTTGCTTGTTTATGAACATATTTTGATAAAAGTTGGAAAATACATTAACTTCTTACTAAACCACAGTACCTTTATAAATATTCTACATAAAAAAAACTTTTTACCCTCCCTGTTGCAGCAAACCTAAGTACTCATTAAACTAATTCTGTTTAAATAGGGAATAAATGTGATATTTTTAAGGAGACATTTTAGTTTAAATCCAATCAGGCAAATGGAAATTCGCTAAGTCTGCAGGTTTGCTGCGGCTGTGTGACTTATATTTTACACTACAAATTCAATAGTGTTCTTTAATTTTTTGCATACTGTATTTTATAATACTTGATGATAGTTAATCAATGTGGTGCATTTTAAAGAAGTATATTTTAAAAGATTGTATCAATATTTAAGTTAATTAAATATAAATAGTCTCTTCAATCAGGAACCCTAAAGTTTTTTTTTTTTTTTAAATAAATCCCATTCTCAATTGTCTTGAGAGACTCGATCTTTTTAAATACTCGAGTCCAAGACAAAATAATAGGCCAGCAACTCTTTCCGAGCCCAAACACATTTCAAATGAAACTTTAAGTTCGAATGAAACGAGTCTTTCTGCGGCATGTTTATTTCTAGGAAAGTTTTCCAATTTTCTCCCGCATAGCAAAAGAGGACTTCTTTTGCACTTTGCTTGGTTTGAAATTGTTTCATTGAAATAAATTACAAACGATAGCTTAAATCTTGGAAAAACAAAGTTAATGTATAAGTTAACTAAAAAAAGTCTTATTCTTTATTGCATTTTTTGGGAGATTTTTAAAGCTTAAGGATTCTTGTCGTGTATTGCATCATAAGTATGTTTTGTTGTTTTTTTTATCCAGTATTTACCTGAAAGTACAAAACACCCATCAAATTACACACTTGCAATAATACATTTACACTTATACTGTTGACTACGGTAAATACAAATACAAGATGGTAAGAGGTAGAGGTATGTTTTGTACATTCGGATAAATGAATAATGCGTACGATGCTGATCAAGATGTTATTTACAACAGTATTTCCTGAACAAATTTGTCTAACACATTTGTTGTAAATACTAATTTTTTAAATAATGATTCCTAGATTATACTACTTTTTGCCGGTTTTACACATACGGTATTGAAATTAGTTTAAAAAATATTCAGGATTTGAGAAACGATAGAAAGTAATAATGGATAACAATATAACCATTTAAAAATTGTTTTACTGTAAATTGTTCAATTAATTGTTTAAATGAACTAATTAAGTACAGGGGTTTTATCGCACTAACCACAAACATAGGTACTTTACAGTAGAACTCCAATTATCCGAACTCCAATTAACCGAATCTCCAATTATCCGAATCGCTTATTTCAACAATTTTAAAAACGTAAAGCTACAGTAATAAGTTTTGCAAAATATCAAAGAATTGTTATTAAACACATTTAGCCGATTTTGGACTTTGATGGAACACTATTGACTTAATAACATGTATAGAACACTTGTACTATGAGCATTGTAAACTGTAAAAATGTTCTGATTTAAATTATTATTAATTAAAAGTTCACTTAGTACTGAAAATGAGGATTTTTCTAAAAAATTCCCGGAATTCCGGTAAAACTCCGATTATCCGAATTTTTGATTATCCGAATGGGGTCTGGTCCCTATTGATTCGGATAATCGGAGTTCTACTTTACTTTACAGCAAAGTTTACTGATTTTAAATGTTATAAAAACGATATACATTAGTCTAACTATATATTCAGTTAGACAGTTAGACTACATACATCGATGGCACAGGTCTATGGGATACTCGTGCTATTGTCAATATTCTACCAGAACAATATTTTTATTTTGTGACATTTGTCCTTTACAACACTTGGAAGGTGCTTAAGTCTAATTATTTCCGTAAATTTATGCTTTTAATCGATATGCATTTTGACACAACATTTTGGTTTTATTACTTGTTATAGCCAAAGTTAGTAGTAAAAGGCGTTCCAAAAAATTAAAAATTAAAAACCCTGTTGCGTGTTTTTGATGTTTTAACACAGTAAATTACAACTAAAACTCCCATTTCAGATACACAACTTAAATCTCACGGTACCAGTGAACGTGGAATGTAGTATAGTTGTACTGTATTTAACAGTCATAGCTATAAAGGGGTAGGGGGAGTCGGGTCGGTACCAGGCCATGACATGGTTATTCCATTGTGTTATTACAACGTCCTTGTAATCCTTACAGGACATCTTGTCTCCGACATGATAATAGATGGCCCAATGTATTCCATCCCTCCTGAGATATAGGTTATCGTACTTAATAATTATACACATTGTGGGTGTGGTTCCTATTTAGTTAGAGTTAATGTTTGTGTAATTTTGTTCGAGTAGTACATTGATTAGTATACGGGGTTCTTTAAATTTATGAATAAGCCCCGGTTGAATTAGTCCCAATTCTACGTACAAATCTGATGTCAGAGCATTGAAAACCAAGAACTGCCCTTGTTAAAACCACTATATCATGAAATTCCTTGAATCTCGAAGATAGGAATACATTTTTAATTGTTGTCAATCTTCATCATTAAAATATAAAATTACGTTGACTACTTCACTGTTAATATCTTTTATGTGATTTTAATAACAAATATCTCGAATATGCTTTATTTTAGCATTTATATTTTGCAAACCAATATTATTGTTATATTAAGATTTAACAACTGAGTTTTTATATCCATAGAACATCTTATGGTTATTAATTCTTTAAACTATTTTGTAATCAAAACATTACGCCAGACCATGAAAAAAGTAATTTTTGCCTTCATGCACTTTCAGTCACTAATTTAAACCATTGTATGTATGAGCTTACTCTCATATTTTTTATTTATTTAAACAACATTTAGAATAAGAAACATTTAGGATTGTTTAACAAAATACTAGAGCATGGGATATGACATGCAAACCTCATTGGTTGTAGTCAGTTGATTTGTTTTAATATTTACAAACTTCCTTTGTAAACATTTGAACAAAGCTTTTGTTACAGGAAATTCTAAAAAAAACAACCTATTATTAATCAAACGAAAAACACTAATATTTTGTGTTCTCTACCTAAATATTTGTAGTCTTAAAAAATGTCCAACCGATCTCCATAAAACTTGGTATGTATATTACACTTATTAAAATCTATGTTAGAAAAATCCTTAAACGGTTTTTAGGAAATCCTCTATAGATTCAACCTTACACCTTTTACGAGACCGAAGTCATTCTGACTACGTTAGCTTTCAGTCGACAAAGCTTACAGTAAAATGTTTAAAACATGCATTCCAAAAAAAATATTAAATTATCTACTATCAAATACGTCCATATAGTTT